TCCATCCATCCATCCATCCATCCATTCATTCGTCTTCATGTCTCAATAGACACATAACAAAGCTAGACGTGAAATCAATACCTCCAGGGTACGTGAAAAAAAAAAAAAAAAAAAAGAGAAAAACTTCGAATTTACTTTGTTGCACCAAAAAAATAAGATTTAATATCCGAAAAGTTAGTTTTTGAAAGTTGACGGGCTGTTTTCTGTCCAGTTTTTGCGAATTTGTCGAGGAAAAACAACAGTAAAAACCTTTTAGTAAACAAAGAAGAAGATAGCCTTTCCTGTAAGGTTTACGTCCACGCACTCTTTCAACACAAGTTTGGATTGGAGAAAAATATAATGATGTTTATGCCAAAAAATTCTCGTTATATATATTTTAAACGGATAACACCATAGACAGTGCTTTGTACAGGATTATATTCACTCGTTGTTTGTGTAAAACACCTCGTGAATATAATCCCGTACGTCGCACTTTCTATGAAGTAATCTCTACTCTGCATGGTATATACTTACAATATCGTAATGACTGTGACGTCAGATAAGGCTTCCTTAACTGATTAAATAAAATTGAATTGGTTCTGACAAACAGTATATGATTTAAAAAGCATCATTATTTTACTCATGGCCTATCTAAAGGTTATTTTAAATTCGTTTTCTCATAATGGCCAGCATTTAGTATTACAAGTTGCGACAAATACACTCAAATACTTTACCTGACGTCACAGTGAGTAACATATTGGAAGTATAAATCTTTATAACTAAATTAAAGACGTATCATTCAAATCAATAAATATTTTACTATTCGACTATTTACTTCATGTAGAATCAGTACTGAAAATATTGAGTTTATTTAGGAATGAGGTGCACTTTAACCCACCAATGAAAAGTCACGTGACATAAGAATTAAAAACGCGGAAAAATGAGGAAGTAATTTGAATCGCGTAGGCTTTAAATACAAAKTACGAGGTCAGGATAGATCAGTTCAGCTTACCATGGCGAAAATGGCTTCAGGTAAGACTCTGCTGTCGTTCGTAGTGATTCTTTTCTTGGTGGCTTGTGTTCAGGAGGTACATGAGGTGCAAGGTACGAGTCTCACGAACAGAGATCAAGGACTGAATCAGACGGAAATGATGGAACTTTGGAAGAATTTGCAAGAAAGGTATGTTACGCAGTGGAAATCTGATTGATATCACGAGCTCGAGTGCTGAACGCATGCATATCTATCTATGGAAGCCTGAATTTTATATGCTTCTGATACCTTTGGGTATTGGAAACATCGTTGAAGGTAGCTGTTTACTGACTAAAGAGGATCACAGAACGAAGAACCAAACATGATAAACTTGAATCAGTGAATATGTGAGTTAGCTGTGCCCGGACCGATCAGCCAAGAGGGTGTTGCAGGGCATCCACAAAATTGATGTTTGAAAGGCACGTGGATGACAGTGATGATTGATGACTAGAATCGGGTTATGTGATGAAGTATCCTAAGTTGATAATAGTTTCCTTTATCATGCTAATGCCCATTAGCATAAATTTAGACTTGAATATAGAGTTTCTCATGCTGTGATTGGTCGAGCGACCGGTGATTCTGAGACGATATTCACCGCTGGAGCGGTGATCATTAGGTTTCCAAAGTTATCTAGATCGGAAGTAATACTAAAACTGATATTCAAGTCTAAAATTAAACTAAAACAATTATTCCCATCAGGCTCAGTGATTGCGGTGATATTTACACTATACCTCGCTACTCGAAGGCTCACCGATAATCACTTCGCCTTCGGCGAATAATTGTTAAATATAAACTGACAGTAGATATTTCATTTCCCCTTCAATTGTTTATCGTGTGCTGCGATCATTTTTTGGCATTTTACATTGCAATAGGTTAGGTTACATCAACAGCATGTTCATCTATCCACCGTAGGTAAAAATCTCCAACATATACATCTCTGTCAACTGAAATTAAAAATTGTTTTACGAAAGTTAATTTACAAACTTTCTTTTCAGAGTGGAACAACTGGAAGCCAAGGAAAAATCATGCTTACGAGGYGAGAAGTTTACCTTCTGTGTTTTTTGTTTTTTACTTCTTTTTTCTGTTTTCTTATGTTGCATACTAACTCAATTCCACGTACTGGGATCCAGGAAGAGATGGTCGTGATGGAATACCTGGACCACCAGGTAAGAAGGAGTAAAAGGCAATTATCTTTTCCAACGTTACTTTTCTGAATCCTGTTTTCTATTACTATCAATTCTCATCTCCACCTTCACCTCCATCTTTTTTGTTCACCTAATTATTGAAGTTCCATAAATATTCAAATTTGGCTTTTATCAAACGAAAATAGGTGCACCAGGAATGACAGGCAAACCAGGAAGCAAAGGACAACAAGGACCTTCTGGACCAGGAGGGGTGGTGTACATACGATGGGGAAAGACAACATGCCCTTCGGATACTACAGTTGTTTATCAAGGTAGGCGTTCACTCACTAAACTGATGCTTTACGTTACTCCCTCATGCATGCATCAATCCATTAATTCGGCATTAACCCTCCTCAATTTCTTAATTACTTAATCATGCACCCACTGACTTCCTCAGCCACCTTTTATATTTGATTCAGGTCGTATTGGTGGCCAGTACTACACGTCCACTGGAGGAGGTTCTAATTACGTGTGTCTCACCTTAAGCCCACGATTTGGAAAGTACAAAGATGGTCTTAATAATAACGGATACATTTACGGCTCGGAATATGAAACTGCTTACTTCAACCCATTCAGCCAAAAAAACCTCCTACACCAAGATGCTCCGTGTGTAGTCTGCCACGTCCAGRCCCGAAGCACCAAGCTGATGGTCCCTGGAACTTACGTGTGTCCTGCGGGATGGACAAGAGAGTACTGGGGATACCTGATGAGTGAAAAGCATAACCACAAACATACCACAGAATACATCTGTGTAGATAAAGATGCCGAATACGTCCCAGGAAGTGGTGCTGACAACCATGGTGCCCTGCTGTACCCAGTTGAAGGACGCTGTGGTTCTTTACCTTGTCTTCCATACGTAGAAGGTCGTGAGCTGACATGCGCAGTGTGTACCAAATGAGCAACAAAACGGTAAATAATGAAACGAACTACTGCCCAACGAAAAGTGATCCTGGACAACACAACACGATTACTTCTAGTTCTCAAACTATGCTAGATTAAGATGAATTTGCTTCTGATAATAAAACATAAATGAATAGATTTAAGAGTAAACTTAGATGAATAATAACTGGATGAATGAAAGTCCAAGTATAATAAACAAGGACGGATCCAGGGGGAAGGGGGAGGGGGCTGAATACCCCCTTCAGCAGAAAAAAACAAAACAAAACAAAACTGAACAATTAGATGCTCTTTTTATTGGTTTTTTTGTTGTTGTTGTGTTGACGGAAGAAACTCAATTAGCCCCCCTAAACTCAATTAGCATCCCCCTAAAATTTTGGCTGAATCCGCCCTTGATAAAATCCAAAAATAAAGAAAATCTAAAATCCAAAATCCAAAAATAGAAAGCAAATAAAATAGATGATGAGCATAACCCTTTTGTGAACATATTCATTCATTGGTCTTCATATCTCAATAGACATACAACACAGCTGGAAATAAGGTCAACACCTCCAGGGTAGGTGCAGAAAAACAACTGTGAATTGACTTTCATTACGAAATGAAATTTTAACCCAACAGTTTGTTATGCACTGATAAAGATATATTCCACGAAAAAAATTATTACATTCGTCTTTATGTCTCAAAAGTAGGACGTGAGGTCATTACCTCCCGTTTACTATTGCATCAAAAGAGAAAAAGACAAGTTTTCAATGTCTTTTCGTTCCCTTGCTTCAAGCTGCTTCAGGTTGCATTAATTTACATTTGAATGACAAAGAAAAACCTAGAGAAAGACGAACATTGGCTAAAGATAGATGTTCAAAGCCAGTTCTTGTTCTATCAGGAAAAATCCTGTATGACATTATAATCATGATGCTGAAGAGGTCTAACAACAAGAGGAAGATATCAAAGAGGCACTGCTTCTCCCACAAACAAGACAGTTGTCGAGTTAAGTTCTGCTTACCTTGATTAAGATGAGTCAGGTTCCTCAAGCATCGTGTAAGGCTGTGTTGTTGGTGTTAGCTGTTCTTCTTGTAGCAGGTCGTGCTGCKGAGACAAGTGAGATACAAGACGAAGGTCAGATGGAGAAAAGAGTTCAAGGACAGAATACAACAGGCATGATAACGCCGTTAACGACTTTGCAAGCAAGGTAAGGAGTAAATAAATGTTTTCTTTTCAATTTTCCTTTGCCTTTCATAATGTTGGTGATTCTCAGGAGACTCTCCAACAATTCATAACCTTGCGTTACAGATATATGTTCCAAATACTAAAATTTCAGGCAATGTTTTTCTTTTTGCTTAGGAATTTGGGTATTTTGTGAGTGCCGGCCTCGTCACTTAACCTTGTGTTACGAGTATAATTATCGATATAAATCGTTATCAAACTTACTGATATTTTTAAAATGAGGACACAACAAAGTAAAAAAACTTCTTTGACGGTTTAGTATACAATTTGGTTAAATTAAGATCTTTTATTATCTCCTAAAAACTGATGTCCTTTGTGTTGTATATCGCAAGACACACTGCTCTTTCTACTGTTACAAGTATTTCTTCTTCATGAATCAATGGAGCGGTTTTTACAAAGTGTGCGCGATCGAAATGTCGGAGCGCGTTAATCAGTTCTCTTTTTCGTAGCGTCTGTTATATTAACCCCAAATGCATTTCAAATCGACCACGTGATGCCAATGTCGTACACGTGTATTTTTATACCACGTGATAAACACCTGGATTGCACTTCGATCACGTGGTGTAAAAAACGTTACAACAAGGTTTCAAAATTCAGAAAATTCACAATCTATATTTGTCTTTATTTCAGAGTGGAAAAACTGGAAGCAAAGATAAAAGTACTCCTTCGAGGTGAAACGCTTTAGTTCAACATTTGCCTCCTGCATGAACTGTTCATAGCTGACTTATTTAACTGGATTTTATTTCAGGTAGAGATGGTCGCGATGGCCTGCCAGGAATGCCAGGAACGCCAGGTTAGAAAAATAATAGGAACGACTAATTTCGAGAGCTAAGAGCTAAGAAACTGTCCATAATGAAAATGAAAAGCGTGTGGGAAATGAACAAACTTCATTCGAGATTTCGCATTTGTAAAGCTGAACATTTTAGAACCACCTCCGCCTCAAATAACCTATCTTGAGTCACTGGCGGCAAAAACTAGTTTTGTAGTGGCCGTGCGCTTAGAGGAGACTGGGTCGAGTCTCAGTAGGAGGTCGGTTTCAGTTCATGGACGCAACAGATTCGTGTTGAAGTTGTTATCGTTTCAATTTGTCCCTTTTAGGAGAGAAAAGTGTAAGTATTTTCTTAGTCCTTATCGAGTTCAGTAGTATATTCAGCACCGTTCGAGCCCGGTTTTTGCGCCTGAAATGCGCCTGAACCGTTCGCGCTCCTGATTGGTCCATTTGATAAGTCGGAAATGACGTTAGGATTGCGCCTAAATCATGTGCATTGCGCCTGAACTATACTCGGTTCTGATTGGTCAATTCGGACTGCAAGAAATGACGTCAAAGCTCATCTGCATTGCGCCTGAACCATACTCGGTTTTGATTGGTCCAAGTGATATTAAGAAGTGACGTCAACTCTGTATCGTTTTCATAGATTATCGAAATGGCGGGAACGGATTGTCAAAAAATTATCATACTGATAAGTTTTGTATAAAGGCGCGAAAAAGTATTACGAAATCGTGACTCAGCAGAGACTATATAAATAGGTTGCGCTGAATGTTTGTTCAGGTCCTTTGTGCGAATATAAATGTAAAGCCTAAAGGCAGTGGAGCAGCGACGGATCAACCTATTTCGACTTCAAAAGGGAGAAAGATGGGGTGGCACGAATACGAAAATGTATACATTTTTGGGACAAAACATGAAATGAACATGCAAAATGCAGTGGAGCGAGAAATTTAAGTCAAAATCTTATCAGTTGACGGGTGTAGTTAAACAAAGAGATACGACTACATTATAATAGTTCTTTGTATAGTTTATTTATTT